AAACATAGAACAGTTATTTAAAACCAAAAATAAATCAACAACAACAACAATCCAATTAAGGATGGGTTGTATGATAGGAAGATAATCTTCCTATTGTAATCTCTACCAATCAGGTTCTTACTAGATTATAGTGTTTCATTTGAGGACTCATAACACAAAAGAAACGACTGCTTGAACTTGAATGACCTTTGCTAGTTCTTTCCCTGAAATCCTAACACTCTACTAAAAAGGAAAAGGAAAAGAAAATAGGAGGAAAGAAGCAAGTAACAAAGAGATTGGAAAACATGAAAGAATGAAAGAAATGGAAGGCATTTAAAGAGAAGACTGATCCAGATGGCCAAAAGACATGTGAAAAGATGCTCAGCATCACTCATCATCAGGGAAATGCATATCAAAACCACAATCAGATATCACCTCACACCTGTCAGAATGGCTAACATCAAAAACACAAGAAACAATATGTGGAGATAAAGGAACGCTTGTGAGCTATTGGTGGGAATGCAAACTGGTGCATGCAGCCACTCTGGAAAACAGTCTGGAGGTTCCTCAAAAAATTAAAAATAGAATTACCACATGATCCAGTAATCCCACTACTGGGTATTTACCCAAAGAATACAAAAACCTTCATGTGAAAAAATACATACACCTCTATGTTTATTGCAGCATTATTTATTATAGCCAAATTATGGAAGGAACCCAAGCGTCTATCCATAGATAAATGGATAAAGAAGACGGAGGTACATGCATACAACGTAATATTACCCAGCCACAAAAAAGAATGAAATCTTGCTATTTGCAACAACATGGATGGACCTAGAGGTATTATGCCAAGTACAATGTCAGTCAGAGAAAGACAAATACTGTATGATTTTACTCATATGTAGAATTTAAGAAACAAAACAAGCAAATAAAGAAAAAAAGATCTCCCTCACCCACTCCCCCTGCTTGTGTTCCCTCTCTAGCTGTCTCTCTCTGTCAAATAAATAAATAAAATCTTAAAAAAAGAAAAAAAGAGACAAAAAACAGATTCTTAACTATAGAGAACAAACTGATGGTTACCATCTGAACTTGATCTTTAAAAGTTGTACTTTTAAGGGGCTGGAAGGATGGGGGAAATATGGGATGGGGATTAAGAGTACACTTATCTTGATGAGCACTGAGTAATGTATAGAATTGCTGAAGAACTGCTGAATCACTATATTGCACACCCGAAACTAATATAACATTGTATGTTAACTTTACTTGAATTAAAAAAAATTTTTTTAAATGAAGAGAGGTAAACAAAGCCTTACTTGATGGGTAAACTCTACTGAAAAGAAAACAGACTTTAATTGGAACAGGAGCCATTAAAGCAAGGAAAGAATTTTCTGACATGAAAACTGAAGATAGGAAGAAGTGGTAGAAAACTTCTTCCTTAACGGGTAGAAAAGATATTACATTTTCAAGGGTCCTTCTGAGTGATACAAATTTAGTACATAAATTCTGAAAGATACACAGGGACCAAAATAAGCAAACAAAGGCTGGTGAGGGTATAGTGACAAGAGCTGCCCCAGATCCTTTCAAGAAAAATTTTAACTGAAAGACCCTCAAGTTTGGTTAGATGCTTCTGGGGTCACAACAACACTAACTCTACATAGAGATGAGAACAACAGTAGACAACATACATGAAGATTTGCATGGATACAGCTAGGATAATCTATTAATGTTTCGACAACTTTAATACTTCAACAGCTTTAAGGTAACAATAACCAGCAACCATCCAAAAGCTAAATCGATACTGTTATTCCTTGGGGTGGAGAACACAGAAGTACTTCCCAAAGAAAGAGAGTTGCACTATTATTGATACAGACTTTTTGCATCCTAAAAGGCTTACTATTGCCAGACACTCTGCCAAGTACTTTACATGGATTTTCTCATCTCTTTTCACAATACTTACATGTGGTCAGGACTATTATTAGCTCCATTTTAGAAAAATTAAGTGACTTGACCAAAGTTACATTGCTAAAAATTAAGTGCTGAGCCAGGATTTGAACCCGATGCAGAGCCTGAATTCTTAACCTACAAACAGTAGAACAGTATTGCATTTAATATTCCCCAACGATCCCATGAGGTCAATTATTATATCCCTGTCTCACAGGGATGGAACTAAGGCTTAAAGCATGAGATCACACAAGATCTATTGATTGAGCCAGGATTCAATTCAAATCTAAATCTAAACCATGCACTGTGTGTGTGTGTGTGTGTGTGTCTGTCTGTCTGTCTGAATCTCTCTCTTTCTCATTTAACAAATATTTTGTAACATCCACCCTGTACTAGGCACTATTATCATATCATTACACGGTACAAGAGACATAAAGATGATTAAGATGGCTCTTTCTCTCAAGAAGCTCATATCTAGAAAGAGTCTAGAGCTTCCTACTCTCAAGTATGATCCCTGGATCAACAATATGGGCATCACCTAGGAGCTGGCTGGAAATTAGAAGCTCAGGCCCCATCCCAGACCTCCTGAACCCAAATCTGCATTTTAACAAGGTTTCCAGGTGTTTTGTATGCACATTAAAGTATCAGCAGTGCTGGTCTAGTGGACATTTTGAAAGGTTTTGCTGTTTCAGGTATAGATTTCCATGGCTACAAACCAAAAATTAGGGCATGAAATAAAACAAATTGAACTGGAATAAGGGCAGGAGTCCTAATACTGAAGTGGCTCTACTCTATTTTTAAGTAAAGTTAAAAAGGTGATTCTGATAGTATTCTAGAGGGGACTTTCCTGGCAAAGCTATCAGTTACAAGCCAGGTAAGCAAAGATCAATATTTGCTTTCAACATTCTCTCTAGCTTCCTAAAAAGAGGTGCTGTGGCCTAAAAGTTCACTGCTCTGGCAAAGGGCTCTCTTAGAGTCCTATAATTGAGCCTACTTTCCTCGCACCCATGTGAAAAAGCCACAAGAAGAGGGAGAAGTATTTAGGTGTAGCTCTTGCAGGAATCATGATGGGGGTCTTTTTTTTTTTTTTTTTTTGCCTTTCTTGGCTTCATGTTGTCACATGCTGTCTTTAATTTGAATTGTCCTAGAGCCAGAAAGGAAGCAAAATTCATGTCAGTGAAAGAGATGCATCACACTGTATTTGCGGTAGCAGAACCAGATTCCACAAAGCAAGTGGTCAACACCCGCTGTCCCCGCTTACTGCCTTAGTCACAGTCTGGGAGGAAGTGAGCTCACCCAGGCAAGGTGCCCAAGCCCCAGGCAAGAATGGGTGCTTCCAGCTATTGCAAGCTGTAATCTCCTCAAAAACCTAACATTCTTAGTTTAGTAAGTACAACTTTTAAAGATCAAGTTCAGATTCTAAACGGAACAGTATAATGACTCATTTTAAGGTCCTCAAAGGTTTGCACTGCTTCGGGAATGAAGCTTCATTACACAACCAAAATGTCCTACTTGTGAGATGGTTAGACTCCCATCCACTGTTAAGTGGAGGTCAGCAGTGACTGCAGAACACTCTGGGTGCACAGAGCTTAAAACAGCACTGGTATTTTAATAAAATTAGTAAAGACTCTTTTTCTTCAATGCCCCAGCATTATAGTTGGAGGCAGCGGGACAGAGCAGAAAGACAGGTATTTCTACAGACCTGCGTGTGCCCTTGGGCAAGTTATTTTATTTCTCTGAGCCTCGGCTTCCTTATTTGTAAAATGCATTTTTAAATTTTCCTTATTTGCAAAAGAAAGCTTTGCATGTCATAAGGGAAAATGGCAATATATGTAAAAACACCTGACATTCAAGAAATGGTAGTTATTATTGATAATTACTCAGGGTGCAAGAAGCAAATTTGAGTCCAACAATAAGACATATCCCAACACAGTGAATAGTACTTGGGTGATACTGAGGAAGTGTCTGGGTGGCACACTTCACCTCTAAGAACATTTAAGGAAGGGAAAAGGGAGAAGAAGAGGCAGGACTGGAACTTCTGAGTTGGTAAATGGTGGCAGCAGAGTCCTCTGCTGGACTTCCATTAGGACACCATATCAGAACGTAGAGCAGATTTCCAGAAATGATGTCCACAGAGATGCCTGGTTAGCTGACCTATGTTTTCATCTTCCTCCATCCCAACTTCCTTCTGACCACCCCCCAAATGTGTACATCGTTGGTGTTCTAATAAGTGGTCCTGCCTACTCCACTCTCTTCTCCTGGCCTTTTAGGAGGCTACATGCTTTACACCAACCACATCACCGAACCCCAAGCTGGAGAGCTTCCTGTGAAATGACCCGCAAACCCTGGCTACAAAATCGTCATGTCAGAGAATGGCCCAGATGACTTTTTAAAAAAAGACATTGGTCCTACTCTTCTAACTTAAGAAACACAGGACCCAAGAGTTGCAAGGACCTGCTGAGGACATGGCTGGGGCTGAGAGCTTGGCGGGCCGATTTTTCCCACCTGCCTCCCACCTACCTCCTCTGACTCATGCTATCTTTTCTTTCTGTTTCATGTACTAATTCTCTACTATAGTTTCTCAAGAGAGCCACTGGGGCCCAACCTGGTTATTACTATTTAAAATTCATGTTACAAATGATGCTCGTGATGCTGTACTTGTAGTTTTGAAATGGGGTCATTGGCAAAGGGGGTGCTGGCTGTTGGTGGGTGACAACGTGGGTTAGGGCAGATGACTGTGGTACACGGTCCCATACGGCGTGCAGCCCGATTCCAGCAGTCTGTCTGATTCACAAGCACAGAGCTTTCGGAAAGTTAGGGCTGGTTGGGGTCCAGTGTATTGATGTATTTTTATTAGACTCAATTGAAAGATTTGAAAGGATGAATAAATTGCTTTCCTATTTGCTTCCTCTGCTATTACAGACTGTGCCCAACAGATGTCACATAAGAAATTCAAATTACGTCTTCAAATGGAGCATAACTTTAGTCATGAATAATTCAGGAGAATAACCGAAAACCAGAATAATATTTGAGAGACATTTCTTTCATGGGATTGAGAGTGTCAGCGGAAAAATACTCACCTATTTATTTGACCATTTTCTACTTCAGTGAAATCGTTGGAATCGTTGCTAACGTTATCATCCTCTGGCACTGTCATATTCTGCAACTCTGTTAATTCAAGTCCACTTTTGAAATGCATCATGTTTACAAAGTATCCGTAGTCAAAAAATTAGTCCAAATTCTGCTCTGAGAGTATTACAAATGGATAGCAGCAAAAATATAAGCTTGACACCCCTAGAACACAACACAACGAAAAATAATTAAACATAGGACTATCGCCATCAATGAAAGATAAACTATTACAAGTAAACAAAGAGTTAACTTACTGATAACTTATCCATCTTGCCATCCAATGCATTAGGGCGATCTTTGTACATCAAGTGATAGAGGCTTATCTCTAAATTTTATGCCTGTTTTAAATCTCCCTCCATTTTAACTACAAAATGAGTCTTGTCCCATCATTGTGTGCATGTTAATAGGAATACCATGTCAACTGCGGGCAATATAGATGCCTTTTATGAAACAGTGTGTTTAAATTGAAAGTGATGCCGTTATTTTAATGCATCTGATCACAGGGCACACTTAGAATGTGTACAGACTACACAGACACAAAAGCACCGCGGATTTAGCAATCCCAGTTTAATAAAAATGCGAAGCCTCAATAAACGGCATCATGACAGATCAACCGCGCAACCTGGAGGTCAAGCAGCAAAGGACAAATCTGTGGTTTGAAATTTAGCAAACACTTTATCCATCAACTGCAAGAGATTAAATCAATCTCTTCAATGAAATCACTCTATGTCAGGGAATTAGGGAATTAAAAACTCATACTCAGGGGATTTAGGTTAATCCACCTAAAACTATATTTCCTCTCCAGAAACGAAAGACTTGCAGAGTTCATAGTCTCCCCGACGCGGATGACTGGGACTTAGATTTCAATGGTATATAAGGGGGGGAAAGAGTTTCAGACACACAGCATCACAAATTAAGAAGCAGGTGGCGACCAAAACGAGCTAGACACAACTTGAAAAGCAAGGCCTGTGTCAGGACAGGAGCCCAAACAGGGTCAGCTCGGGTGAGGGGATGGGGACCACGGAATGAAGTAGAACGCCAATAAGTTTTTATTTTTACCGCCAATGGCAAACCCCTCTGGATGGCATTTTGTCTGATCCTGAATTCCATAAGCTGACTATAGCCTGGTGAAGAGTCAAAACTCTAACGTGCCCAGCTAAGCAACCTAGGAAATCCCAAGAAGCATTGTGCTAATTGATACAATTTTCAGGACACATAGACAGTACCTTAGAATGATAATTTTTTAGAACTTTTCTTCTTCTCTTTCCCACAACCAGGCCACACAGTATTCCTCTTTGTTCATATAGACTCCTATCTAGCATGAAACTCCCCTGGTTCCAGGATCCTTTACAACTTCCAACAGGGAGACTCCCCCAGTGCTGGGGACCCCTAGTGCCTGTCCTCCCCCTGTGCCTGTCCTCTTGAGTCTGGACCCCCAAATGAGGGGATGGGGAAAAACCTAAAAACCAGGCATGGATGGGAAATCCTGGAGAAAAAGCCAATTACAGAACATTTTAAACCTGCGGCCCTGGGTGTGCTAGAGACTGCCCCCGCCGTCTGGGGCCAGGTTAAATGGATCCTGAAGTGGGGGCCTGGAGCTTCCTACACACCCCCAGAGAGAGGGGGGCATCTCTGTCCCCTGTTGGTGAAGACACTCTCACTGAGCACTGGGGAAGATGGGCTTTAAAAAATAAAAGAAAGAAAGAAAATACTTCCTAATACCTCAGGTTCTGGGAGCCTCACCTTCCTGCCAGGCAGGGCCTCTCCTGGAGGGCAGGAAGCCGGGGCCAGGAGAGTCGAGCGCCCCGTCTCCCAGGCAAAGGCAAACCTGGTGGCTCAGGGCTGATTCTTCTAGCCAGGGTGGGAGTGCTAGCAACCGGGCCATCTCTAACTGTTCTCAGTGCCTTCACACAGCAGAAGGGTTTACAACCTGTCTTTACTGGACAAAAGTTGCAGGGCACTAACACGTATTCTTACTTGTTGGCCGCCTTAATGAAAGCTGCCCAGATGGGCTAGACTGGGTAATTTCCAGCAGTCTTGCCACACTGGCTCTCTCCTGGACAGCTTCCTCACAGTCTGAAGTGATTCGACGGGGCTGGTGGGAAGGTGAGTCAGTGGATGGTGTTTGCAGTTTGGGCTGAGTCCTTTCCTCTCTACAGACTGGTAGGAAATAGGACACTAGACAAAAATTTTCTGAGGAGAGGAAAGGCTGACTCATAATAGATCTGGAATCTACTGTTTGAATCTGAACTTTCGTATCAATATATGTGTGTGTGTGTGTGCAAATAACATACATATATGGTCATTTACATAAATGGACAAAAAGGCAAAAGCATAAAAAGAACAGAGGACGTCCTGGCCACTAAAATTATTATAAAAGTATTAGGCAAATAACAGCACTAAGTTAATCACATAGAAAAAATGTTTTTTGCTTTGGCTTAAATGGGAAAGTTTTTTTCATAGTTCAGGAGACTAGAAATCCAAGAGCAAGGAGTCAGCAAGTTTTGTTTCTTCGGAGGCCTTGTGGATGGCTCTGCCTTCTCTCTGTGTCCTCACGTGGTCTTGCTGCTGTGTCCTAATATCCCCCCCTTTTTTTTTAGAATACATTTTTATTGTTATGAAATAACCTTTCTGAAATCTAACTCATTCTTGGAAATGAAAACTGCAGGATGGGGTAAGTTAACAAAGTTAGTGACACCTCTCACCAAAGCTGAGGCCACACTTAGAAATTCCTCTCTATTCAATTCATCATCTATTTATTGAGGTTCAGTAATGAGGGATTTCAAAGTTTAAAAAGTCAAATTTGGGAATCTGAGGCAGCTTCATAGGAAGGTCACATCTGGATCAGTCCTTGAGAAAGAAATTTTTTTTCTTATTCTATAACTAATACATACTCACCACAGAATCATTAGAACAGACCTTGTATAAAAGATCCCACCATCCCAAACTGGGCCACTGTTAGACTCTGATGTATTTCCTCTCCTCTTTTCTTCATTATCCTTTCCTTCTTTTTCTTTCTCCCTCTCTGCTCCCTCTTTCTTCCTCTCTCTTTTTTTTAACATTGGCACTTTAGACTGTTTTTAACCTACTCTTCTTCATGTAGCATTACATGATAAGCATTTTGGAGAACAGAAATGTTTTTTAAAAACATATTAGCTCCTTATTAATAAATAATACAAGCTTTGTAGAAAAATTAGAAAATATATGTTTGCAAATGAAGGGGGACACAAGTAAACAGAAAAAAATCACCTGTTATGTCAGCACACAGAGATGATCGCTGTATATATATATATGTATATACTGATATATATCCTGGAGTATGACCTTTGACCTTCCAGGGCCTTTCTATGCACATAGATATAGTGCCTGGCACACAGTAGGCACTCAATAAATATCTGTAAAATGAAAAGAGTGAGTACAAATAAAAAACAGGTATGCGGTTACAAAAATGGAAATCATACCATAGAGTTTTTAACACGTATTTTTTTGCTTAACAAGATACGATCTCCTATCCTGAGTTACGTCGAGATAGTAAACGCGGGTCTACACAATCGCTGCAAATGCTTGCTTATCTGCTGGACTGTGCCATAAACTGATACCCAACCCTTTACTTCTGGACAATCACCCTGCTTGGCAGACGAGAAACTGATGGGTGGAGATGGGGCCTGAGCTGAGACTTCTCAGTGAAGGAGAACATGGTCAACGGCATGGGCAGGAAGTGCAGGTTGAGTTCAAGAAGCAAAGAATGACACCTTCACTGAAATAAGAGGCCATTATCAGAGAATACAATTAATGAAAAGGCCTAACAGGGTCATTGTGTGAAGATCTTGATGTTAGCCCAACTATAATTACAATCTCTCAACATTTATAATGGGTTACAAATTAAAGTTTTATCGGCACAGAACATAACTTTGGTCCTTTACCACAATCTTGTGAGGTCCTCTTAAGCAAGCATTATCTCGGTATGCTGATTGGTACATTTTATTTACCAAGAGTACCAACATAAAGACTTAAGTCTCTACTATTCATAGTGTTATATATCAAAGGAGAGGATACAGAGAAACTCATCTAGCCTTACATTGCTTACACCCTATTTAAGCAAGCAAGACCATCCCATATAAAGTGACAGTATACCATAAAATATCTGCATGATAGAGACCCAACTATATGGCAGAACAAAGAATAAATCCAGAAAGATTTCAGAGATATACATACATACAGATGTACAGAAGGCAGGCAGGCAAGCAGGCAGGAGGGAAGGAAGGAAGGAAACAAAAAATGGGGCCTGGAGCAATCAGCTAAGGTTTTACAAAGTTAGGACTTGAACTATGTCTAAAAACAGGTAGCTTTAGACCAGGGGATTGGGAAGGCATCACTTGTATTGGGAATAGCACAGGCCTTGCATGACCATTCAAATGAACCTAGCTAGAGCAGAGGGAGCAAGGTACATGTTCTTGAGTAGTTTTACAGCTTTGGTTTTTACAGCTTTGGTAAACGCTGATTAGAAGACTGTAGGGGGGCACGCCTGGGTGGCTCAGTCGGTTAAGCATCCGACTCTTGACCTCAGCTCAGGTCTTGATTTCAGGGTCATGAGTTCAAGCTCTGCACTGGGCTCCATGCTGGGCATGGAACCTACTTAGAAAAACACATAAAAAAATAAAATAAAATACCGTAGAGGGAAAGCCAAACCAAAGAATATATTGTAACTTAAACAATGTCAAAAATCACTTTTTGGGATAAATACAATTTCAATTGCTAATATACTTCAGAGTGTATTGGCCTGCTCAGTATTTGTTCTACTTGTTAGTCCAGTTCCGTAGAAGATGGAAAGTCGAGAGCTACATTTCCCATTTGCAGCTAGGGTTCTAGGTATGATTTAGATTCCACCAATTGGAGAGCGGGGGTAGGGAGCAAGGCATCCATTTTGCTGGTACAGTTCTAGCCAGTGCAGCAGATGGCTCTGGTACCAACAATTGTGGCTATGGATTCCCGATCATCAGATTTGGCTCAAATGATGTGTTCCTGGAGCATGCAGCTGAGACAGTGAGAAACTGGCTTCCTGGTTCCCTGGCTTCAGGATGGAGGCACAAGTAGCAGTTTCCTTAGCAGACAAGTTTAAGTGGTGGTATCCCAGTAATTATTCCTAGAGGCCCAGCCTAGGGCCTGCCCTACCATCTCTTCTGACAATTTTATAGGCACTTAATTGCCTGTATTAAATCCCTTTCACTTAACATACATAGAAAGATCTCTGTTACATGCAACTAAACCCTAACTGATATTCGTCATTTTATTTTCCCCCCTTTTAAATTTACTATGGGAAATTTTAAACATATATACAAGTAGACAGAATCAAATGAGCCCCCATGAACTAACTTCAACAATGATCAATTCAGGCCAGTCTTGTTGAAGTTTAACCCCCACCATCACAGAGAATTATTTTAAAGCAGATCCCAGATATCCTATCACCTATAAATATTTCAGCACTTATCTCTGAAAAAAACACTTTTATAAAACAATACCACCAGGGGTGCCTGGGTGGCTCAGTTGGTTAAGCGACTGCCTTCGTTTCAGGTCATGATCCTGGAGTCCCTGGATCGAGTCCCGCGTCGGGCTCCCTGCCGAGCAGGGAGCCTGCTTCTGCCTCTAACCCTCCCCCCCCTCTCATGTGCTCTCTCTCTCTTGTTCTCTCTGTCTCAAATAAATAAATTAATTAAAAAAAAATCTTAAAAAAAAAAATAAAACAATACCACCAGATCACTACCAAACCTAAAAAAATAGCAGTAATGCCTTCCTATCAATAATATCCAGTCACACACACTTAATTTTAAAATTGTTATGAATCACTATTGGTTTTCTTTTCTGTAAAACTAATAAGATTAAACCTTTCCTAGCTCAACGGCTGAGAATCAATTATGGTAGCTACGTCAGTAGTTCTGAGAAAGTGTTAGGCCTAAGGCCAATGATGGTCCTATTCTTCCTGCCATCTCTACCCATAACTAAGCCGGTTTACCCATTTGAGATCCTTGGATCAACTGGCTCCTAGATGGTAATAATATGAATCTATGAGCTGCTTTTCTGTATTTCAAAAGGCCTCAAACAGGCCAAATAGGTTGACTAAAATGTCAGGTATCCTTGCTTTGGGCTAGATTGCATTAACTTGGTGTGATGATCCTAAATTCTGACTGGCAATTTTATATTTCTTTGAGTAATAAAACCAGGAAATAAATTAATATATTAAAGTTGTAGTAAACACTCATTAAACAGTATACTTACAATCTGGATATTGCATCACATATAAATTACACTTCAACTAAAACAAAAGCTAGTGTATAGAATGCAACTGACTTCTGTGCATTGATTTTATATCCTGCGACTCTGCTTTTGGTGGAGTCTTTCGGGTTTTCTATTTAGAGTATCATGTCATCTGCAAAGAGTGAGAGTTTGACTTCTTCTTTGCTGATTTGGATGCCTTTTATTTCTTTTTACTGTCTGATTGCTGAGCTAGGACTTCCAGTACTATGTTGAACAACAGTGGTGACAGTGGACATCCCTGTTGTGTTCCTAACCTTAGGGGAAAAGCTCTCAGTTTTTCCCCATTGAGGATGATATTCTCTCTGGGTTTTTCACATACAGCTTTTATGATATGGAGGTATGTTCCCTCTATCCCTACACTGCAGGGAGTTTTTATCAAGAAAGGATGCTGTATTTTGTCAAATGCTTTTTCTGCATCTATTGAGAGGATCACATGGTTCTTGTCCTTTCTTTTATTAATGTGATGTATCATATTGATTGACTTGCGAATGCTGAACCACCCTTGCAGCCCAGGAATAAATCCCACTTGGTCGTGGTGAATAATCCTTTTAATATACCGTTGGATCCTATTAGCTAGTATCTTGGTGAGAATTTTGGCATCCATGTTCATCAGGGATATTGGTCTGTAATTCTCCTTTTTGGTGGGGTCTTTGTCTGGTTTGGGGATCAAGATAATGCTGGCCTCATAGAATGAGTTTGGAAGTTTTCCTTCCATTTCTATTTTTTGAAACAGCTTTAGAAGAAGTATTCATTCTTCTTTAAATATTTGGTAGAATTCCACTGGGAGGCCATCTGGCCCTGGACTCGCTTGCTGGGAGATTTTTGATTCCTGCTTCAATTTCTTTGCTGGTTATAGGTCTGTTCAGGTTTTCTATTTCATCCTGTTTCAGTTTTGGTACTTTACATGTTTCTTTTTTTTTTTTTTAAAGATTTTATTTATTTATTTGAGACAGAGAGAATGAGAGAGAGCACATGAGAGGGGGGAGGGGCAGAGGGAGAAGCAGACTCCCTGCTGAGCAGGGAGCCCGATGCGGGACTCAATCCAGGGACTCCAGGATCATGACCTGAGCCGAAGGCAGTCGCTTAACCGACTGAGCCACCCAGGCGCCCCACTTTACATGTTTCTATGAATGCATCCATTCCTTCCAGATTGCCTAATTTGTTGGTATATAATTGCTCATAATATTCTCTTATAATTGTTTGTATTTCTGCATGTTTGTTGTGAACTCTCCTCTTTCATTCATAATTTTATTTATTTGGTTCCTTTGTCTTTTTGATAAGTCTGGCGAGGGGGTTATTGATCTTATTAATTCTTTCAAAGAACCAGCTCCTAGTTTCGTTGACCTGTTCTACTGTTTGTTTGTTTAATTTCTATATTATTGATTTCCACTCTGATCCGTATTATTTCTCTTCTCCTGCTGTTCTTGTTCCTGCTCCTTTAGGTGTAAGGTTAGGTTGTGTATTTAAGACTTTTCTTGTTTCTTGAGAAAGGCTATACACTGTATTGCTATGTACTACCTGACAACCCAGCAATTACACTACTAGCTATTTCTCCAAAGGATACAAACACAGTGATTCGAAGGGGCACCTGCACCCCAATGTTTTTAGCAGCAATGTCCACAATAGCCAAACTATGGAAAGAGTCCAGATGTCCATCGACAGATGAATGGATAAAGATGATGTAGTGTGTGTGTGTATACACACACACACACACACACACACACCATGGAATATTACTCAGCCATCAAAAAGAATGAAATCTTGCCATTTGCAACCATTGGATGGAACCGGAGGGTATTATGCTTAGTGAAATAAGTCAGTCAGAGAAAGACAAATACCATATGATTTCACTGATATGAGGAATTTAAGAAACGAAACAGATGAACATAGGGGAAGGGAAGAAGAGATAAAATAAGATGAAAAGAGAGGGAGGCAAACCATAAGAGACTCTTAACTATAAGAAACAAACTGAGGGTTGCTGGATGGGAGGCGGGTGGGGGATTTGGGGCACTTGGGTGATGGGCATTTAGGAGGGCACTGTTGTAGGTGCTGCCCACGGACCCAAGTGTGGAATCTTGAGGTA